TATGACTGTAATGTACAGTCATACCTTGGATCTCGAACGGCTTAGTTGCCAAATGCTTCGGCTCCCAAATGATCAAAAACTGGAATTGAGTTTCTGGTTTTTGAACATTTTTTTTTTTTTGGAAGCCAAAGATCTGGTGGGGCTTCTGTGGCTTCCAAATGGCTGCAGGAGCTTCCTGAAGCCAATTGGAAGCCCGCTTTGGTTTCTGAATGTTTTGGAAGTGAAATGGACTTCCAGAACAGATTCTGTTCAGCTTCCAAGGTATGACTGTAGTGATGGGGAACATCAGATCAGGGGCCAATGCAGCCCTCCAGGTCTCACTATCTGACCCTTGGAGTGGAGAAGGACACAGGCCCTTCTTGCACCCTCTGTGAGGGATTTTGCCCAGCAGGAATGTGTTCCTTCAGCTCTTGCTGGTCTCACTTGAGAATAGAGAGTGAAGTGTGAGTGTCTACTGCACAATGGTAAACACCACACTTGCTGCTCAACCCAATTTTGCCTCTGGCTTTGCACACAATGGCATGTGGCCTTCAGAAGGTTGCCCAGAAGGGAATGTGGCCCACTGGCTAAAACAGTGTTCTCTGCCACTTTTCTAATGTTTCAACTGAGTTGCATACCCTCCAACATTTCTTGGATGAAAATAGGGGTGTCCTATTCCATTATTATTATTATTATTATTATTATTATTATTATTATTATTATTATTATTATTTGCCACAGCCACCCTGGGCAGCTTCCAACATATATAAAAACATAATAAAACATGTGTGTTTTTTTTAAGAAAAAAACCTTCCCTATAGAGGGCTTCCTTCAGATTTCTTCTAAAGGTTGTTACTTATCGTATAGTTACTTATCTCCTTGGCTTGGGGGTCGCATAACTCCATACCCTCCAATTTTACTCTGATGAAAATAAGGAAGGCCAAAGGAAAAGGGGGACGTTCCCTGGCCATGTATTATACCTCCTTGAGAAATTGTAATAACTAACAAGTATTAATATGATGCTGTTAAGGTGCTACACTCAATATGCCAGCAAATTTGGAAAACTCAGCAGTGGCCAGAGGACTGGAGAAGATCAGTCTACATCCCAAGAAGGGCAGTGCCAAAGAATGCTCCAACTACCGCACAATTGCACTCATTTCACACGCTAGGAAGGTTATGCTTAAAATTCTACAAGGCAGGCTTAAGCAGTATGTGGACCGAGAACTCCCAGAAGTGCAAGCTGGATTTCGAAGGGGCAGAGGAACCAGAGACCAAATTGCAAACATGCACTGGATTATGGAGAAAGCTAGAGAGTTCCAGGGCTCCATGATCACTGCAGATGGTGACAGCAGCCACGAAATTAAAAGACGCCTGCTCCTTGGGAGAAAGGCAATGGCAAACCTAGACAGCATCTTAAAAAGCAGAGACATCACCTTGCCAACAAAAGTTCGTATAGTTAAAGCCATGGTTTTCCCAGTAGTGATGTATGGAAGTGAGAGCTGGACCATAAAGAAGGCTGATCGCCAAAGAATTGATGCTTTTGAATTATGGTGCTGGAGGAGACTCTTGAGAGTCCCATGGACTGCAAGAAGATCAAACCTATCCATTCTTAAGGAAATCAGCCGTGAGTGCTCACTGGAAGGACAGATCGTGAAGCTGAGGCTCCAATACTTTGGCCACCTCATGAGAAGACTCCCTGGAAAAGACCCTGACGTTGGGAAAGATGGAGGGCACAAGGAGAAGGGGACAACAGAGGACGAGATGGTTGGACAGTGTTCTCAAAGCTATGAACATGAGTTTGACTAAACTGCGGGAGGCAGTGGAAGACAGGAGTGCCTGGGGTGCTCTGGTCCATGGGGTCACGAAGAGTCGGACACGACTAAACGACTAAACAACAACAAAAAACAACAAGTATTAATAATAATTCAATAACTGTATCAGACTTCTTCCGGCTTCCCTTAAAATCTGTGGTTTAGCGCTGAATCAGAACAAACAGCAATTGAGTTTTCTGCAGCTTGCTGTTTGTTCTGCTTTGGAGCTAAAGAGCAGGTTTTCTAGGGGGAAGGTGGTGGGAGGCAAAACTGCTTGGACCTGTGCCTAGAAAGCACAAGACAAGTGGAAAACCACTCAGCCCCATGCTTTCCAGGCAGAAGTGTGAATGAGCCCATAGTTTAAAGTGCCTTGCAATCCATAGAGATTTTTAACCTGGCAAGGTCTTCGAAATTTAAATCCAGTTTCACTTAGGATGTAATTTGAAAATAACTTCAATGTGAGGTAAAGGAAAAGGACCCCCAGATGGCTAAGTCCAGTCAAAGTGGGGTGTGGCGCTTATCTTGCTTTTCAGGCCGAAAGAGCCAGCGTTTGTCCACAGACACCTTTCTGGATCATGTGGCCAGCATGACTAAATCTGGTGCATGGAGGACCATGACAGAAGCCAGAGCACATGGAAACATAGTTTACCTTCCTGCAGTAGCGGTATCTGTTTATCAACATAAACATCAGTCTGTCTCTTCACCCCAGAGTCCTAGGTGTGCTTCACTGTACAGGCTTCCCAATCAGTCGGTCAATCAATCAATCAATCAATTAACTGAACACTCAGAAGGAACAGATTAATGCACACACTCCTAACTTTCTCCTTTGAAAAGAACAGGTCAGCTAGGCCTGTGAAACACATGCGGGTTTCTGGATAGGGCTATCTGCCCTCTGGAGCTTCTGTACCTGAACTAAAATTACTGGATCAGGGCCCATGAACTTTAAGAGTGAGAAAGACATTAGAGCTTTAATTATCAGATGTCTCACTCTGTTTGTTTTAATGCCAAACAGCAAACAGCGCCAACGTCCGACGACGGGACACATCAAATGAGTTTGTGTGGACTGAATGGAAGGGCTGGCATTGGCAGTAGAGCAGAGTGAATATTGCTAATTAAAACAGCTGAAATGGAATAGCATTTTTGGACACAATGGGCTGTAAACTGACTTTCTATTAATTGAGCTCAGTGTAATGACATATCGGAATGAATAGCTAGTGATCTGGAAATTCATTTAGACCATTAGTTTAATTACAGAAACTGATGGAAGTTTTCTCAGACAATTATGGAAAGAACTGGAGCACCGTGAGATAGGATTTAGAAGATTTTGCATCTTCTCCATCTACCCTTCCCCACTTTTTAGAATATTGAATTGTGCAGTAGGAAACAACAGTAATAGGCCTGAGTAACATATTCTTGTATGGAAGCCTTTACTCTATCAACTAGGGGACAGATGTATGACTCTGTCAATTTCAGTTTTTATTAGTTTCTCAATTTTCCAACTTTAAATTTAGTGAAGGCTAGTCTATTACGGCAAATGGGGTATTGCCCCACCAATCACAGTCTGTTCTTAGCCAGCCCCAGCTGGCTGCCTTCTTCCTTATGACCAGTGCAGGGGAGTGTGACCCTGTCTGTCAGTTTACTCTTCTTCAGTCTCAGTGTTGCCCTTTGTATAACTTAGAAAGGAAGAGGATGGCCCTGTTTGTCACTGGTTCTGGCGCCCCCTACATTTGGACTCCCTGCTCTCCACCCCATTAGTTCTCTTGTTCACAAGCCACCACTGCTTAAATCCAATATGCTGCATATCTACATCAGTTTGTGAATTTTGTGTACAAAAATAGTCCTCTTGAAAATCCGATAGAATTTTAGAGAGCATTTCCCCTAATACACCCATTTCGCAAGGACATTTCCCTACAATAAAGCAATTTTTAAAAATTAATATATGCATTTTTATGGGCACTTTCCCCGAACAAACATTTCTGGGCACTCGATTTCTTCGGAGAACTGAAATTCAGAGAAAAGCAAATTCTTTACAGCCACCCAGCAATGTTAGATAGAAGTCCAGGTTATTAGCTTGGCTACCGTGGCTCATACTTATGGTGTGTGTGTTTTTAAAATATCTTGAAGGGCAGCCACAATAGTTCATGACTGTCCTGATCCTAGCTGGGGGGGGGGCAGTGCAGCCCTACTCAGAACCAGCAACACACCATTCCCAGAGTCAGACAAGCCACATAGCAAAAGCACCTCTTTCTTGTCAGGAATGATGTTATTGATACAGTCCATTACCAATCTCAGACACTAGTTTAGCATCATCATCTAAATTAGATGAAAAGGGGGGGGGTCATCACTGTACTGATCACATTGCACCAAAATCCCAGATCTGGCAATTGCCACCAAAGCATCTTGTTCCTAGTGGGATGTAGCTGGCTGCACTTTCTGGAGTGGCCTGGGAATGACGCTACATTACCGAAACATGGCAGGCATTGGAGAGAGCCATATATTGCAGTGAGAAATGCAAGACCCTTGCTTGAAAGTTTTTTTCACCCCCACAAAAGAGAAATGGGGTGATAGCATCCTCAAAAATTTAAGGGAAGTGGTAGCCCCCCCCCCCGAAGATGTTGGAGAAATTATTGTCCCCCTCTCATGAACTTGGAGCGGACTTCGTTTTGATTAGAGCAATGTACGTTAAATTAACTCAGATTATTTGATTAATCAATTGTTAATTGTTTGAGTAGTTTTGTTAGTTTAAATGTGGAATTATGATTATAAGTACAAGAGTAGCAGTAGTAATAGTATTTTGTGTAACTGGTGTAATTAGAAGCATATTATGGCATTAAGCGGTATATACTACTACTATGACTAATACTAATAATATGGTTTTGAATGTGGACTTTGCATTCTATTTCTTACATTGCTTCCTTTTTGTTGGCATTTGTAAACTGCTTAGAGATTCCTGCTGAAATATGAAGCAGTACATAAATTAACTAGCCAATTAAATAAAAGTAAAACCACTTTCAGATGGTTGAAAACAGAAGCAGCAGCAACAACAAGAGTTAATTTCTTAAGCTTATCCCATGAGAAACAGATCAGCAGCCACACATTTGCATCACTTCTCTCTGTATATCACATTTCAACTTTGCGAGATATTAAGGGGCTGAAATTGACATTTCACAGGCAAAGCAAAAAAGAAAAGAGCTGCAATGACTGGCTTACTTGTGGACGTGTATACTAGTGAACTGGGGGCACTGTACATGGGAGATCCCTCTTGGTTTGCCTGGCACAGCAGCACCCTGCCTATGAAAGAGAGAGAGAGAGAGAAAGAGAGAAAGAGAGAGAAAGAGGAAGAAAAGAGAGCACGGTCTGAGTTTGGGAACACTCAAGCTAAATTAGTTAAGTTGAAAGAAAAACACCCCAACATGATGAGGCTATGAAAAGTGCATTGCCTTTGGCTGAAAAGAACCACCACCACCAAAACCTTTCCAGGTACACTAAAGCTTCAATCCTACCCCCCCCCACTTACCTGGGAGTAAGCCACACTGAAGTGAATGGGACTTACTTCTGAGTAGACATGTGACCATATCCAGCATTCTCTGTCTACTGGCACAAGAGCCCTTGCACTAACGGATGACAATGTTTAAAGGTTGAGCAACAAAGGTTATGCTAGCGGAGGCTTGATGCACAACAGCTGGTTCTTGTTGTGTAACCCACTGCACAACAACCTTTCGCGAAATAGCTGTTTCTGGCTGCATAATCCACCATTTCCCTTGTGCAACTGTGTCCCACCAGTGCAACAAGTAAACTGGGGCTGCAGCCTGCATTACATACTGACAATTTGACACTCCAACCATCCCAATGCAAAATATATATTAATTTCACGTTGGGAGGCCAGGACAGGTGCACCGCCCTGAGTAGTAAAAGTGGCCACTTGCTCTCGCTCTCTCTTTCTCAAACTCTTTCCACATCTAGGCTGATGTTGAACCTGTCCTATCAATTCTCTCCCCCCCCCCCAAAAAAAAAGGTTGCAGTGGTCCAGACTAATGTTCATTCCATCCAATGACCAAGTATGGTGGGTTATTTTTCAGAGTGGAAAGTATTTTGAAGGGAAGGGGTTGTTTGCTTCAGTGAGCTCTCGTTTAGAAAAGACGAGCAATACATTTTGTGGACTTTAACATGTAGTTCAGTTGCCTCCAGTGTTAAGATAACTGAACACAAAGGACTTGTATACCTTTAAGTATTAGACAAATGGGGGGATTTTAGACCCTTTTCTTATCACTGCATAAAATGTTCACTCTACCCAAGATACCATCTTCCTTTTCACCCCAGTTTGCTCTGTGTTATTAATCCTATGATTCTCTACACCTTACGGATAGCTAAAAATGTATTTGCACCCATACACTAATCATGCTGTTACACTCACCCCCAATTTATTCAACCATACTCATATTTTTACACAGCTCTCAAGGTTAACCCTTTCCCCACACCTCCTTTGACTACACAAGAATGAAATAAGAGTTTGGATGCTGGTTTAGGCCAAAGGCCTACGTGGTCCACATCTTCTTCCACAGTGGCCTCAATGGGAAGGCTGCAAGCAGAATCTGAGCACAATAGCACCCTCCTTACATGTGATTTCCAACAACTGCCACTCAGAGGCATACGGTCTCCAACAGTGACGGTGGAACACAGCCATTGTGGCTAATAGATAAAAAAAACTGTGGGATGTATCAGTTGTTACTCATACTCAGAGTATACCCGTTATAATTAATAGACATTAAAGGGGAAAATAGTGCTGTGTTAAAATCATGTCCTCCAGTTTCTCAAAGGGCTTCTTCCTCTGCAAATGAGCCTTCTTATTTTCTGCCTCATTCTCAAGGCACTTGGGAATTTCTTTAGAATTTCGAGGAGTGCAGATTTTGAGCATACTTTATCATTATGAGACGGACAAGGACAGTATGTGTGCTTTTCTTTCCATCAAATATTTCTCTGGCACTCTGCAGCCTCCTTGACTGCCCACACTTCTGGATATGAAAAAAAGCCCCATGAGAGGAGTCATCTCATGATGTCTTCTCCTGGATTTTAACTGAAATGTGGGCACTAAGGAAGGCTGCAGAGTGCAGACTGATTTGTTAGAATGTAAGAAAGTGGAATTTGCTGCCAAGGAGTGTGGTGGAGTCTCCGTCTTTGGAGGTCTTTAAGCAGAGGCTTGACAACCATATGTCAGGAGTGCTCTGATGGTGTTTCCTGCTTGGCAGGGGGTTGGACTCGATGGCCCTTGTGGTCTCTTCCAACTCTATGATTCTATGATTCTAAGACTCACAAACACCTCATGGCCATATTGAAAGTAAGATAAAAACAGAAAAACCCTTACATCCAACCCATGCAAATTTCACCGCTTTGCTCTCTCCCCTTAGATAATTTTCATATGTGCTTTCTTCTCTTATTAATTTTAGTGTTTTGTTGGAAGCTTCCCAGAGTGGCTGGGAAAACCCAGGCAGATGGGCAGGGTATAAATAAATTATTATTATTATTATTATTATTATTATTATTATTGATGGGGAATGGTGAGGGGGGAAACCCGCAGAGGAATTTTTTTGCCACAGTGTTAAAGGAAAGAAAACATGATGTGATTGCAAGCGATGCTTCTAGGGTAACATGTAGTTAGGCCCTAAGTGATCTAGAATACTACTTTACAAGGGTTTCCCAGTCACACAGAGGGAACTCTCTGTATTTATAGCTGCCTATGCAGTGGCTCTTTAAATGTTCCAATGAATGTGTTGCGGTTAGGTCTAAGCATGCCACAACAATCCCATACCTCCTCACTCATTGAATGTGCAAAGGAGTTGATCAGAATCCCCATTTCATTCACACATTTGCCACTGAAATGGTTAATGAGAAAAATATCCTCATTAACTACCTTAATGGTAAAGATGCCAGGGTGACAAGATGTAACTAATTGCTCACTAGGTGATCTTGGACATCCAATTAATCAAGGGACATTTTTTTCATGGTACTTTTGCATTTGTATATCCCGTTTCCACTGTTCCAAGCACTTCATGCACATTCGCTCAGTGATTCTCATGACAGTCCTGCCAAATAGATGGGATTTTACCCCTATGATACAGATGGGCAACTGAGGCTGAAAGAATGGCAGCTAGGCCTTAAGGCAGGGATGTGGAACATTTTCCTTCTGAGGGCAATGTGCCAGTGGTAGGCAGGTCCAGGGGCAAAAGTGTGGTGGGCAACAAATACTAATTTACTCATACATCCTTCTCTACCCTCCATCTAAGCAAGCAAGAAGCATGATCAGAGTTCAAATGTAAACTACAAGAACAATTATGCTGACAGGAAGCCAGCAGGGCTGTGTGGGGCTTTCCTGTGTTTTGCAATGTCATATACATATATAAACTATCTCCCTTTTGGATAGAAGTCATGGTTTTGCCCAATGTGCAATGAGCTCCTGGCTCTCTTGCAATGTTCCCCTTGAAGCCAAAATAGCAGACCTGAAAAAGCTAAGGGAAGCAGAGATGCTGGAGGTTTGAGGCCTTCAGGGATGGTATAAGTGTGCCCCACTCACATGACAGTTAATTCCCCTGCTCTCAGGGAGAATGAAGGTCTTGGGGGTGGAGAGGGTCCATCTGAGGAAGAGGTAAACAGTTCCTTAGAAGGCTGATGTAAAGCTACCGTAAGTTCTTGTGCCGATAATACTTCTCTAGAGGCAGGGGGATCAGTAGGAACAGAGATAGTTGGGTGCATGGTGGGCATACAGAACACAGGGTGAATTGTCTGCCTGAAGCAAGGAAGCATTATCAAAATGTAAAGACAACTCCGACAAAAACACCCAAGCAGGATGCAATCCAGGAACGATGAGGGATGTAATTTGGGAAGTGTCCTGAGGGCCAGAAGAGGAGTATTGGAGGGCCACATTCAGCCACTGGGTCTGAGGTTCTGTCCCTTCTTTCTGAAAAGTGGTCTACCTAAACCTAGGAAGTTTTCAGATGAGGTGATGTTTGAAATGAAGAATACCAGATCACAATACCAGAACACAATCTATTACGGTTTACAGAATATTATTATATTTCAAGCATAGTTATTTCTCTCATTTGTTGTTTAGTTTGTTTCTTCTCTTGTAGCTTCTTTTTTCTTACAATAAAAAAAGTCTGTTTCTTCATTTCCAACCCATCCCACCCTTAGCAAATTTATTCCAGGATGCTGTTAGCAAAATGGATTAAGTTGCTTTCTAAATACATACAAATTAACCCGATATTGTTTAATATTACTTATGTTAATTATATATAGACGTTTCAAAACCTTTTTTAAAAAATAAAGCTGTTGCCATTTTTTTAAAAAAAACAAAACAAAACACTAATAACGTAGTGTTGAAGTATTATCATACAAATGGTAAAAAAAAACCCAGCTAGATTAACAACTCTGATGATAGTTAATGCATTCCTAAAACTTCTGAGGAGCTGTTACAACCCATTACAGCTGAAATATTGGTGTATGAAAAATTAATAAAGCCAGCAGAAAATGGAATCCGGCATCTGCAGCAGCTATTTACATAGAAAGAATCACCCGGAATTAATTATGCTCTATGTTACATTCTAATGAGTTTTTCATTAAAATGTACACTATTATGGAAGCTAAACAAGGATTATTCAAAGAAAAATGCCAACAGCTGTTATTATTTTGAGAAATTAAAATTAGTTAATTGGTTATACATTTAGATCTAGGTCAGGGTTAATCGAACACTATTTATCATACCGTTAGCCTGTGTGTTTTGTAGGGGAAATAATGTCTACATCACCTTCTTCAGGGTCATACTTCCCTGGAAGGAGCAGGTTCCAAGACAGCAGGGTGCTCCTCTTGTGCTCCTGTGTCACTCTCTCTAGGTGACACAGTGGCCTAGAGGTGACTCTCAGTGGCAAGGAGTGCCTTTTAACAGCTGTTTCAGTAAAACAGGAGTATGGCAAAGTGGGGCTGCCCCTGAAGTTGGCCCAGAAACTGCAGGTACTGCAAAATTCAGCATCTTGACTGTTCATTGGGAAAGGATACTGACGTCATGCTATGCCACTGCTGCTGCCAGTTAGCTATCAGTCAAAGTTCAAGATGCTGGTCCTGGTGCACAAAGCCTTAGGCAGCTTGAGACCAGGATACCTAAATGACTGTGGTGGTGGCTACATGTCTTGATGGCTATATATAAAACCTTCAATATCTTTGGCAGCTTGCCTCTGAACGCTAGGCACTGGGGATCACGAGTGGATGATCCACCTATACATAGGATTGCCATTAAGTATGTG